CCCTTCCCCAGGCAGAGTCCCACTACTGCCGATCCTTTTCTTACAGTATTATGATAATTGTTCAAGGTCCGCTTATGAATGAGAACCCGTGATACTCAGTTCTTTGTTTCTGTGAAAGATCACTCAGTAGTATTTTCTCTTGATTTATCCTGAGTATTTTGCTGGTGGGAGCCTGATTTTGATGACGAGTGTACTAAGCTTGAGAGTGTAGACTCCACAAATACTGTGTACATCTTTGTTTACCTATCAAGAAGGATGCACTTGGCCCCTCCCCCACGGAACCTGGGCTGGATGGAAAACTCAGAGATGGACTGACCTGATGGCTGGGGGCAGTTTGGCCTCTTCCCAGCAACCCGGCGTTGCCTCCTGTCCTGAGAGCTTCCAGGGAGTTCTCATCCTTTACAGAATAAGTGAATGGGAGGCAGAGGAAGGAAAGGGAATGAAAAAGACAGTTTGAATCATTTCAGGAATAAATTTGAGACTCTCAGTTTCTCATGGATCAAAACCTCTCCATCCTGGAAGACAACTTGGAGGTAGTGTGACTTCAAGCCCAGATAACAGAGCACAGACAGAATTTCCACCTCCGTTGACTTCCAGGAGTGTGACCCTGAGTGAGTCTCTTAAGCTCCTGGACCCCAGTTTCCTCACCTGCATCACGGGAATTGTGTGTGTCCCTACCTCATAACTTGCTCTGAGGATTAAGTGAGATAATTCCTGTCGAGGAGCCATGGCAGCACTGACACATGGTCAATGTGGTAAATATTGAGTGTGGTGACGGCTGTGGCTACTGCCACTATACCGTATCAAATGCCAGGATGTAGCCTTTAATGCATCATTTTAAGGTAAGATACACTGGGTTTTCTGGAGTTTGGGATTTGAACGTGGATCCACTTAGAAAGGCATTTAGAAATGTGAGAATTCTTGGAAGTAGAAGCTGTCTGTCAGTCACTCATCAGTAAAGCATCCCTGGAATGTGGTCTACTCGCTAAATCATCCTTAGGGAAGCAGCTAGTGCTTGGTGATCTTGTCTCGTTTGCATTCAATGTTATGTCTAAAAGGGCTTCGTGAATTATCTCACATCATGGATTCCAAGGGGCACACGTTCCCCATCTTAACATCTCTAGATCAGAATTTGTCTCATCATCAATAGTGCTGTGTGTTCTTTCTTAGCAGTTCTTAAAGGAATACAGCTTAGAATTGATGGCAACTTGGATTTAATGAAATAGGGTTCTTTGTCTGTTTGGGGGACCGGGGAGATTTTGGCCCTATTTTGTATTTATTTTATTTCTAGTCATTGGAAATACCAGTGCTCTTAAGGGGATCGTTCACCAATATTTAACTGCAAATTTGTTTCTCAGACTCAGTTATTTTTCTTTATTCTAACCCATTTGGGAGGAAAAGTTAAAAATCAATATTTCTGCCCATATTTTATATATTAACATCATAAAACAAAAATACTATCATATATTAATATTTCTGTATGCGTGGGAGCGCACCTTAAATTCTAGAACTAACTCATTCTTTTATAATACTAAACTGGTTGATCTTCAAAACTTAACTACCAGTCAGGCTCAGTGGCTCAGCCTGTCATCCCAGCACTTTGGGAGGCTGAGGTGAGTGGATTGCCTAAACCCACAGGTTCGAGACCAGCCTGGGCAACTTGGTGAGACCTTGTCTCTACAATAAATAAAAAATTAGCTGGACGTGGTACCGCGCACCTGTAGTTCCAGCTACTTGGAAGGCTGAGGCAGAAGGATCACCGTAGCCTAGAAGTTCGAGGCTGCGGTGGTCGTGAGTGTGCCACTGCACTCCAGCCTGGGTGACAGAGTGAGACTCCAACTCAAAACACACACACACACACACACACACACACACAAACTCACTACCATGTCAGTGGTTCATATAACAATGTAAACACACACACATTATTATATATGTGTTATATATATATATGTAATATGTATGTATTATGCATATTTATCATTTATCTATACTATAATATGTATTAAAAGAGACCAGTTTACTTAACTAATTTCACTTGTTTGATCTCTGAAGGCAATTCAACTCAAGATTGTTGATATATTTAAAAATTGCAAAATCCATTAAATAATATCAATATGATGTATATTTTCTGCCTAGGGTTTTAAAAGTGCATTTTAGCTTAATATTATATTCTTCTAGAATTGAGATGTGCCTATCCATCATCAAAATCTGCCCTTCTAATTGTGAGGATTTCCAAATCACCCCATCCTCCAAAGAAAAATCACATTTTTGCCACTAGTTGCTATTGTAAAATCTTTCAGCAGCTTGAAAACTTTGTTGCTTAAAATGTCTTTGTTTTCAAGGAATTCAGTGATGGTTTCCACCAGTGCATTAACTTTAAAGCCCTTTCATTTTGAGAGGCAACTTTTGATTTATGGGTAAAATATATATACTTGTGAGAGACCAATAAGTCCACAGCTTCTTGAGAATCCGTAAGGATATTTTATGAAGTATTTAATTATGCTTTTTCTGAAACCCACCTTAACCTCTATCTTAAAACTTTTTAAAATTTATGAAATATTTCATACACTCTTTAAAAATTCAACTTTAGCCCTTTACAAGAAACTTTGACTAAAAAACACAACTTTTCTCTTTAGTTGTTGAGGTATATTCTAGCTATATTTAATTCAACCTTTCATTTGTTTTTATTAAGCAACTATTATAATAGCAGAAGAACTTTTTACTTTATTCTAGAGTCAACTGGTTCCCAATGAAAAACATTGTAAAATTACACTTATTTTGTTTTTTTATTACAGAATCCATACATAGTCACAGTTGAACAGTTTGGAATATATAACATATATGTAAAAAGAAATTAAGCATATTAAAAATGATCTCAATTAATGTTTTATATTTCTTCCTACCTTTTAATATATATTTGAATATATGTTTTGGTATATTTACATGTATACATAAGCACACATGTCATCTTATATACGTAGACACCAATCTCTATATACAGTTGACGTTTCCTAACATTAGTCCATAAACATTTTCACATATTGTTCATGATTATTCACATCTTATTTTTTTTTGATTGCATTCCCTTATGGACATACAAGTCATTCATTCAACCTTTCTCAATTGTTGGACATTTAGATAGTTCCAAATGTTTTTACTGTGATCAATTCTATCAAGCATAAAACAGACACAGCTGAGGTACAGGAAAGTAATACACTGAGGTCGTTTTGAGAGAGAAGAGTATGGCCGCCGTGTGTCAAGTGGATTTGACAGTGAGATCTAAATCAGAGAGCCCTTCGTGGAAGAACGAGAAAGCAAAGGCCCACCTGGAGTCTGAGTGGTCAATACCAAAAGGAAGTGATGGGTATGAAAACTATTGTGTTAGAGACATGGTGTAGGCCTTGGCAAACGACGAATGCTCACGAGGATGTGCCAAAGATCACTTCCACGTTTAAGTTGCATCACGGGAAACACTGGTGCCATAAACAGAAATGGTCATAGCTGGGGGAGGGACTGGTTAAGTGTCAGCCATGCACCCTGACCCTGATGGTCAGTGAAGTCAAACTGAAGCTCTGATGGACCCTCACAGCTGGAGATGCAAGTACAAATCATAAGCAGAGAATGCGCTGGTAAATGATGCATTGGAGGGTGACTCAGCCCGGGCAGTGGAAAATGATTTGTACTTTGATGAAAAAAAAAGGAACAAAAACTAAAGAGAGGAGAGCAGGCTGGGGGTGGGAGGAGGGAGGGAATGATACTTCAGTATCAGAGTTGTGGGAGCCCAGGAAGGGAGAGAACTTCAAGAGCGAAATCCTGCAGTGGCCGTGAGCATGCCACTTGCACTCCAATCTGGGCGACAAGAGTGAGACTCCAACTCAAAAAAAAAAAAAAAAAGTTAAATCCACGACGCTGACAGCCACAGGCAGCTATGCCCGCGAAAGGCTGCTGAGGGGTTAACTGTAACCTTAAAACTAAAAACAAAAACGCAGATGCACTTCTCTGGTGATATGACCTTAAGCCACGTGAAAGCCATTCAGGCACAAATGGCCAATAACTTTGATTTTGAAACGTTGGTCCCACGTTGAAACAGTGGGACAGTCATAGGAGGGTTGGGATGTAGCAATTTCGTCTGTGCCTTCCTGTTCCCCTTCCAGCAAGCCCAGACTCTTGCCACAAAGCTGACTAGGAAGCCGAAGACCGAGTTCATAGGGACAACCCACTCTGTTGGCCTAAAATTGCTATTTAAAAAGTCCTTGGTCAGGTGCAGTGGCTCATGCCTGTAAGCCTGACATTTTGGGAAACCAAAATAGGAGGATTGCTTGAGAGGAGACATTCCAGATCAGCCTGGGCAGCATATCCAGACCTTATTTTTACAAAAAAAAGAAAGAAAAAAAAGAGAGGAAGGAGGGAGGGGGGGGGGGGGAGAGAGAGAGAGAGAGAGAGAGAGAGAGAGAGAGAGAGAGAGAGAAAGCCAGGTATGGTGGTGCACCTCCATAATTCTAGCTACTAGGGAGGCTGAGGAGAGAGGATTGCTTAAGCTCAGCAGTTTGAGACTACAGTGTGAACTTTGGTGGCACCACTGCCCTCCAGCCAGAAAAGAAAAAATATATATATATATATATATTTTTTATGTGAATTGGAGTCTTACTCTGTCACCCAGGCTGGAGTGCAGTGGTATACTCATGGCCACCCTAGCGTTGAACTGCTAGGTGCCAGTGATCCTTCCACCTCAGCCTTCCAAGTAGCCGGAACTTCAGGCACATGCTACCACGCCTGGAGAATTTTTTATTTTTTGTAGAGACAAGGTCTCACCTAGTTGTCTGGGCTGGTCTCGAACCCACAGGCTCAGGCAAACCACTTGCCTCAACTTCCCAAAGTGCTGGGATTACAGGCTGAGTCACCGAGCTTGGCCCCAAAAAAATTTTTTAAAAATTTCTTTACTTTTTAGAACCCTCGAAGGAATAATTTATTCAAAGGGGGAATAATCTCTTTTTCAGGCAACCACTGAGAAAATGGAACCAAATGGTCAAGAAGATGAGAACGATGACGGAAGACCAAGAAATGGGAGTCCAGAACTTGCCTCATCAGGTTTGTTTCATAAGAGACCAGTGTTAAGGTAAACCATGATAACTGTTAAGATATCATGGAAATAGAATCAAGAAATTTTCCTACTGAGCCACAAGAAGGTAGTGACTCAGACTCTACCAGTGGTGTGGTCGTGCTGCCACCTGGAGGCCTTCTGGGGAAGTTCTAGGTAATTTTAAAACTACCCAGTTTTTTTTCTTCAAAGTGTATTTCTGTCATCACAAAGAATATTGTGTTTCCCCATAGAGATAATAATAAAAATTGAGGGTCAGAGTTTGACACAGAGTGACAGCAATAGGTAAGAGAGAGATTTTTAACATCTCATAAAAATAGAAGCTGAAATGATAGAACTCATGAATAGTTTGAAAGAAAAGTAATGCCATGAATCAGGACAGTGAGTATGAACTTATGACATCCGTTGTTTGGGGAAGAGGACCTGTTTTTCCCTAAAGTAGTTCTCCTCAATATTTTTTTTTGCAGTCATCATTATCCTTTTTTTTTTTTTTTTTTTTTTTTTTGAGTTGGGAGCCTCAACCTGCTGGGCTCCAGCGATCCTTCCGCCTCAGCCTTCCAAGTAGCCGTAATTACAGGCGCACACTACCACGCCTGGCTAATTTTTTTGATTTATTGTGGAGATGAGGTCTCGCCTGCCCAGGC